TACGTAACTTACGTTATTAGTATAGTGCTACCACATACAACACTAACTATAGTGTAGTATACTACACATAGTGTAGGTAGTACTATATATATATATATATATATATATATATATATATACACGTGATAGCTTATATACTGTATGTATGAACACATTTGTGAACTTTATACATAGATGGACTATACACACATACACACACATGCACAGACGTAAATTATACACATATATTGTAGATTATATACGTCGATTATATAAACACGTAGTGGAATGTCTAAAAAGGTAATGGATAAGGTTTAAGATATATACATGATTTAAAATAATTTCTCTCCATATAAAAAGAACAATTATCCTGATATACAGTATACATAAAGCAGATGCCACTAGCATTATTTTGAAAACTTAAAAAATATATTACTATGGTTTCCAAACATTTACATTTCAATAAAAGAAATAAAGTTACTGAATTATTTTTCATCTTGCTTTCCTCTTTTATTGAATTTCCTTTTCATTTATCCCATTTATTTATTCATTTCTCAACTTTAAGAGTAGACACTGCTTTGGCGTATTTCTATTTGATATATCTTGATAATATTAGCGTTTGAAACTTAGATAGAAGTGAAAACGTTTTCACCAGTTTTCTGTTTCACATAAACCCTGCGTACCTACAGTGCAGTAGTATGCTTGCCTTACTAGAAGGGCAGTAGTTTTTGGCCAACTTCAGTACTTTGATGAGGGACAAAGGGTAGCTCGGGACTCCATGATCTGGCCAGGCAGTGAAGTGGAACTGTCTTACTTGTCTTCCAACACTGGACTTCATGATGGGGAAAAAATTCATCATCATGATTCTTTTTCTTAATCAAACAACAAAAGATTTCCTTATCTTTCTTTCTTATAAAGCGTAATAATGATATCAAATTCAGAAATTTTTTAGCTTGTCCATAATTAAAAGACCTGAATGTTTAATCTATTTTACCCCACAAGCATGAAAAATATTACTGTTACTGTAAATTTTCTTTAACGTAAGCATGAAAAATATATCACGTTACTCGATTTTAACACATCAAAACAGTGTGAACGAAGAAAAGTTATCCACATTATGAAGATTTAAAGTTTAGTATTGATTTGAATTTGCTAAAACAGCATCCAAGTGTAATGTAGTCTCCGTTCTTCACTCATGCTAAGGTAGCATTAAAAACACCATTAATTAACCGAATTGACAAATAACTCTTATTTGATCACTTTAGATTTTGCTTCATTTAGGTATTTACATTATAATTTATATTTTCATTAGATGTCATTGAACTAGACTTTCATTTACACTTGACTTTGCATGCTTAAGATAATTGATTGATTTTAATACATAGCTTTACTGAAAGTTTCCTTTGGCAGTCAATTTAAGACAATTGGTTACCTAGCTTGAAATCACATCATGTGTTTGCACGTGCAGCATAACGTATAGTGAGTATACATGGCTCACACAGGTTCGGTGCAATAATTAGTAAAAATACATGCCTCACACAGATGCAGTATAACGAGTAATAAGTCTACATGCCACACACAAGTGCAACATAGCACGTAGTAATTATACGTGTCTCCCACAAATGGAGCGTAATGTGTAATAAGTATACATATCACACAAGATGCAGCATAACGTATAGTAAGTATACATACCTTACACAAATGTAACGTAACGTGTAGTAAGAATACATACCTCACACAGGTGCAGTGCAATGTGTAGTAAGTATGTATGCCTTACATAGATAAAGCATAACGTGTAGTAAGAATATATGCCTCATACAGATGCAGTGTAACATGTAGTAAGAATACATGCCACACACAGGTACAGCATAACGTGTAGTAAGAATACATACCTGACAGAGGTACAGCACAACGTATAGTAAGAATACATGCCTCATATAGCTGCAGCAATTAGTATAGTAAGAATACATGCCTCATATAGCTGCAGCACAACGTATAGTAAGAATACATGCCTCATATAGCTGCAGCACAACGTATAGTAAGAATACATGCCTCATATAGCTGCGGCACAACGTGTAGTAATTATATATGCCTCTCATAAGTGTAGCAAGTATACATGCCTCACACGGATGCAGCGTAACATGTAGTGTGAATACACACCTCACATAGGTGCAATGTAACGTGTAGTAAGTATACGTGCCTCACACAGGTGAAGACTAACGTGTAGCAGGTATGCATGCCTTACACAGGTGTAGCGTAACGTATGATGTGTATACATGTCATACACAGATGCAGCGTAACATGTAATAAGTATACATTTCTGTTTTCTCCAGTTTCGACTGTTTATCCATAAGAGTATCTTTACCTTCTGTACTTTAAAGGTCCTTATAGTGTAATCAACGAATTCCTTTTGGCTCAATAGAGTGACAGAAATGTCTCCGTATTTGTCCGTTGTATCTGGCCAATATTTTTCACATTTCTTCTATAAACTCAAAATATAATAACGTATGACATTTATCAGTTTATATATAAACATCCTTATTTCTAAATAAAATATATACGTACAAAATAGTGATTGTAGTAAAATATGGAACAACAGTTTTAATTGTTTTAGGTCTTATGATGTGATTTGATATAACATGCAGAAAACTGAAATGTCATTAAAAATGTAACTTTATCGGACAACAATCGCCTTACATGCTGTTCAGTTAATATTAACTTCCAATCAGAGTAAGCTACCCACTTAGATGAAAAGGAAAAATAACCAACAACATCAACCCGGTAATAAGTGTGGCTAGTTAAATATACTGTTCTTAGTTCTTACGTATGGATCAGAAGGTGTTGTATCACCAGATGGATACCTCGATGTTAACGCTATTTTCGGCCGTAACCATAATAAGTTCGGCCACCTTAGGAAATACAGGTTAGTCCTAAATTCATATGATAGGTTTCAATCTCATACGTCTCTAAGTGTTCTGTTTTATTTTTTTAATCACATAAAGCTCTAACGTTTCCAGTTTAACGATTATAAATATGTATTGTTCAAATATCTTACTATTCAACCCTGATGAAGGAAAGCGCTCGTGTTTTTGGATTTATGTTTTATACCTAACTTTTCTGCTGATCTTGTGTGTTTTTGAATATTATGAGTATTTTCAGTTATCTGTAGTAACTATTGCTTATAAACTCTAAGTTTAAAAGTCGATAAATATGCTACAAAATATACAGTCAACGTCTGAACGACAACGTGAAGAACACAACTACTTACTTTGCAGTGTTCGATGACGTTACAGGTCATGACGATTTTGCAGATTTCCTCCTGCCAAATAAGTCTCCAGAAATCGACAACAGTTTTTTCCAGAGGTCCTACCTCGGAACACAGCTAAATATAACTTTTAAACCTCCCATTAATTCACTATATAAGTGATGTTATTTATTTATGTCTAGTAATTCAAAAGCTGCAATGAACGAGATGAAAAAGGGCAGTTTTAAACAGTTTTGATTATATTTAGGCAAACTCTTACATCAAATAACATTTTGAACCGTAAAAATATAAATCACGTAAATTTCTGAAAAGAAACTTGTGTTTTGTACACTTAAGATAAAATGTACTTATCTACTTACTCGTTGATGAATGATCACTCTTAAAATAACATCTTATGAGATGATTGGAAGGATCGCTGAATGTTTAATACCAGACACTAAATTTCATAGTAAATGTTGTTTTAGATTAAGATTAATTCATTGTTCGTATCTGATTCTAAGTTTCTCATTTCATTTGACATGTTAAACAATTCGAAGATGACAGTTTGTTTTCTCTTGCATTTTAAAGTATAATATCTTAATCGATATATCCAAGAGATGGACAGGTTTATAATAAATCCAAATCATTCTTGAGAATAGTAGGAATGCCAGGGAAAATATAAATAACACTAAATAGAGAGATCTAGATGTTACACCCAGCGAGGATTTAGGAACTGGGATCCCATAATAAGGAAACCATGGGTGAATTCCACAGGATTATAGAATAAGTTCTTTCCTAACCAATCATGTTTTTCTCTTTTTGTCAGATTAATGTCAGTTTGATGTTTTTCATGGGTAAAAAACTCAACACAAGTCCGTGACGACCATAAATGGCGCGGTTCATTTTTCTATCAATAACAATACTTACCCTGAGTGCATATGTAAGCTTTTGATGTATTGTACCCCTAAAAAAAAAAGAAAATTAAAATTTATTATCATATGTAATCGCTTTAGTTTCAGTGGTGTAAAATAATTGGTGTTTATTTAGATGTACCTGTATTTAAAAGCGCGAGATTCACGCAGAAATAAAAAAATTAGGCCTATCTAAAGAATTTTGAAACGAAATTTATACTTTTGAACATTTCATAAATGAAATGATCTTAAAACTTAATATACGTTTAGCGAATCTATTAAAACAAGGGGAGGGAGATTTAACAAACAACTTCTCTGTAAACTGTCGAATTGTGTTTTATTTCTAGATGTAAGATATTTGTATGTTCTATTACTTACGTCAATGTAGTTGGCATTGATGTAGTCTGAGTGTGGATCATTTTTTAATGGGTTTAAAACAACTCTTGTTTCGTCATCTATAACGGAAAAATAAGAAAATAAATTAAGGTTTCACGATAAAAACAACTAGTATGCAGTATTACAAGATTATAACTAATTTACTCATACTATTTAGGGTTGATGGTCGAACGGTTAACATCGGGAGATATTTATGCACGCGCACACACACACACGTGGTACAGTAGGTAAGTTGTTCACTTCATACTTGTTTAACGAAGCGTTGTTTTTGACACAGAATCGACTAGAAACAACTGCTGTAGTTTGAAAACGTTCGGGAAAATTTGAAACGTATATCACATCAGTGACGTATGGAGAAATTGCCTTCTTCTACGTGCAAACGGTTTAAACTTTTCCCCTAAAGAACTTACCATCCACTTATATGCATTGATAATATTCACATGAATATGAACGTATTGTTAAACCTGTGGTTTCTGTTGAGAAATATTATAGCATTTAGAATAGTAAGGACTGTTTCCTGATCACTCGATTATGTTATGTGGTTCCTTGTTTGTAAATTTTGAGAAATGTATTTGATTGTTTGTTTGTTTGCTTTAGAACGATGCCACACTGCGAGGAATCGAACACCAGTGTTGAGCGTTGTAGGTGCGTAAACTTACTGCCGTCCTATCGAGGAACGGAGAAATTTAAACCGTTGTTCTTTTCTCATGATAGTATTCTTTGAAGTGTTTAGTTTAAGATACAAAAATTCTTCTTCTTGGATAAGTGTACAATAGCCATGTAAAAATCATTAATAAGGGATATTAGAAACAAGTTTTACCGTATGTATATTGTTTAAAAAAGGGATACTATGAACAAGGTTGATCCACCATGCGCATACTATTTTAGTAGCGGGATATAATAAATACACCATTTGTGTATTGTTTTAATAATGAGATATTATAAACAAGGTTGTTCCACCATGTGTATATTGTTTTACTAGTGGGACATAATAAACAAGGTTATTTTACCCCGTACATATTGTTTTAATAATATGACATTATAAACAAGGGTGTTTTACAATGTGCATATTTTTTTATAATGGTAAATGATAAAAACATTATTAGACCCATGTACACGTTGTTTAGATAATGGGATATGGAAAAAACATTGTTAGACCATGGAATGTTATTTACAAGGCTAATTAACTACGTACATATTTTTTGAGAGTATGTATAATTTCTGTACATACATTCGAACAACTGCATTAATGCTGAAAATAAGTTATTTTTGTAGATAGTCAAAAGTAGTACGTGAGTGATACAAGCACCTAATATCCACACCTTTGATTCTGGGTTTAGCGTAAAACAACTGTGATACACCAACCACCTACATCGGGAGTTGACAAGACATCTAATATTTACTTACTATGAACTTTACATGCTCATAGACTGGAGCAGATCAGGGTGTAGTCATTCACTGCTCGTTATAACTTGAAGCAAAATATAAACAACACTTACACGGAAGAAGGGTACTGTATCTATTTTTGTTCTTATTTTCAGGCTTCATACCCACTGTCCAATCCTTTAACTGGCCCGTTTTTAACATCTGAAACAGCGAGAGTATATTAATATCATTAAATATTCTCAGTTAGTGTAACATAGAACTGCTTTCTGTTGTGTAAATCGTAGTTCATAACAACATTTAGAATAAAACTTATCACTTTGAAAAAGTCAGTAATTTACGGCTATAAAACATGGATCACGTAATCATGGAAGTTTGGACAACTGCAGAAGGAAGAAGCTGTAAATAATGATATGTGCAGGGTGGAGTAAAATGGGGGTGAAAATAATGATATATGCAGGGTGGAGTAAAAATGGAGGGTGAAAATAATGATATATGCAGGGTGGAGTAAAAACGGAAGGTGAAAATAATAATATATGCAGGGTGGGATAAAAGAAACTACACGGTTGTTTCATTTAGAGCACACTTTAATTTATAACTATTATTCTGAAACAAAAACAACAATTAAATTAGTTTCAACTGTCTTTGTAATCATTTCTTTAGTACCAGTAATATAATACAAACTATACCAACTATATAGTAACTTTAGCCTCTCCTTGTATATACTTATAATCTATTCACACAACAAGACTAATGATAAAAGCATCGCACATAAAGGACAAATAAATGAAACTAGGGTACAAACTATTATGCCGGGACTTGGTAAAAAAAAGGCTCCTTAGTAAGAGAGGAATCTAATGAAATAGGACTCGCATGTTAGTAGTGATACACTGCCTATCAGGTTTAACCTCCTTTATGTCTCGTATATGAAATTATAATAATATAATAAAATAAAAGAATAAGACAGATATGAGCACTCAGCCTCAAACTTATAAAACTGCCATTCACCATCTGCAGCCAGTTGTGGAAAAGTTGCGCTGTAATCTAACAAACAAAATATTAAAAAAATCACGCCCACGCAATTACCGCATACTTCTTAACTGTTTTACTGATTGCGTGAATATTGTACATTTAAAAATACACATTGTGATATTAAAATAACCCAAAAAAGAAGGCATCCGGCTAATTAATGAGACCAACATTCGCAGGCGAATGCAACATGTCTCCACCACACAATCTCAACATGGCTAATTTTGACACCAGAAAAAATCATGAAAACACACAAAAATCGAAAACTGTCTATATCAGTGGTTGGGACTTGCAAAAAAAAAAAGATATCTTTGTACAAAATCTCATCTAAGTTGGTTGACATACACATGAATAGTTCACGAAAACCTCAAAAATTGTGCTTTCCTCGCTGTAAAATTGAGCAAAAGACAAAAAGTCTAAAATGGTTTATATCTCTGTTTAGGACCTGTAAAAAAAGTAAGTTTGCACCAAATCCCATGTAAATTGACCGAAATACGGCAGAGTAATTGTCAAAAAAATCCTAAGATTATACTTTTCGTGACATCTTGACTCTCCTATAATTACTAAATATGGACAAGTACAACATTTTTTTTGTCAAGGTGTGTTGCCTGTAGTAAAAATTTCTTCGTACCAAATTTCATGTAAATTGGTCGAAACAAGGCTAAGCAATTGACCAAAACCCCTAAAATTATGGGTTGTTTAACATTTTCATCCCCCCTAAAATAACCATAAATTGGCATAGCCCACATTTTTGTACAGTGCCTTGCATAAGTATTTACCCCCCCCCCCCCCGTGCTGGTAATCAATTATAGTTATTTTCTTGTGAAAGACATAACTAAAATGGCCAAAAATATTTATTATATTAATCTCAGACCAGTTTATAAAGATTACAAAGAATAAAAGGCGCATTGTTACTCACTCTATACTCTACTACTTGGTAGCGTTATTCGTTTCAGGATAAGGTAGATTCAAAACTAAATATAGTAAATGGTAGCTAGCAAGTAACGTAAGAGACGTAACTTTTATCAGTAAAATTGTTTATACTTAATTTGTACAAACAGGTCACCTAAAAATAACTCAAACAGTTTCTACATAAAAAAATAAAACACTAAGGTTACTTGTGATAATCTTTCTTGAGTTTTACGACTGAATAATAGTAAAGGTTTTTGGTTATCTTGGAGCCCTGGTGGCTCTTTGCAACACTCAACGATTTAATAATATAATTTTGTTTTACTTGTTTTGTATAAAGTGCACTTCTGCTCAACCACACTAGCTTTAAAACGTCATATTTTTTAAACATTTAAGCCCAAAGTCTTATTAACAGTTTCGGTTACGACACGAATTTCTCGTTAATAGAGAAACTATCTAACAAAGACTTATGAAATTAGTGTGACACACAAATAAGTCTAGCTTCCATAAGACCGAAAGTAGAGAACATTTTCGTAAGGTACTTATTACAACATGTGGGTTGGGGAGCAGGGTGGAGCCTCTGAGTCTACTGTGGTTTTAAACCACAAGGAAGACCACCATATAGGGTATACGTAAAATAAAGTAGCTGTTGTAATTTTTTTTTTAAATCCACCCATTAAAGGTTGATTGCATGTTTCACAAATCAGCATTAAAAAATAAAATAGTAAGTCATTTTACAAACTGTGTTAAACAGTAAAAAATCTGAAACATTTATTTTCATGAATAAGCTTCTAGAAAACTATTTATATCATAATTGTGTCAAACACTTACCAGGAATAAACAAAAAATTAAACGATTTAAAACAACTACAGAATAACCAAATCTTAAAATAATGATTCAGTTGTACAATAAAAAAAATATATATTAATTTCAAACTAATCAGTAAAATTGTTTCAATCATTACACAAAATGTTTCATACAATAAAATACACTTAAGGATTAAACAAAAAACACCATTTAAATGACTATTAACAGATAGATTTTTTTAATTTATTCAATTTATATCGTTATTAATTTATAAATGTTATAACCATAGAAAAATGATTTATAAAAGAAACATGTGTTCGTGTATGTTTATTAACTGTGTTTCCATAGAATAATTGGAACACTTACATTATATTGTTCTGTAAATCCTTCGTTTTCAGTCATTGTTTTCACGTATTTTTCAAGATCTTCTAACTTAATTAAATGCTGTTTCTCAGCACCAGGTGGTGATTCGCATTGATGAATTTCAAGTGCTGATAAAGGACCCTTTTTACTATGTTTTAGTTTTTCGAACCCTAAAAGGAAAAAATATGTGAAAGAGAGAGGGAGTGAGAGCAGTGAATAATTGCAAATACGTATTTAATTTATGATTAATACAATGCATTATTACGGTAAGAAAATGTATAGGGGTATAAACCACTAATAGTTTGTATATAGTTTAAACAGAGCAGTATACGTTGTTTTTATGCTACCATAAGATTATCAGTCTATGACTATAAAACATTGTTCTACATTTCCTATATTACTTCCTGGCACCCTTATTGCTGGCAGGTACATTCAGATTCTTGTCCATCATGTTATTCCCGAAGTCAAAATACCTGTTGAGCAGGAATTCATCTTTGAGCAACATAGTAATTCCAAGTATGCAGCAAGTTTGGTAAAGCAATACCTGGAAGTAATACCGTTAATGGAACAAATGCACACCATGGATTGATCTGCACATAGTCTGGATGTTAATTATATTAAAGTTGTATGGGGCTTAAATGGAAGCCGAGAAAATCAAACGTCAATTAAACAACAATTGTATTTGTATTGCATAAATTTCCAACATCACTGGTTGAGATGTAATTCACACTCGTATTTGTCCCCCAGCACGTTTTAGTGTTGATGTTGTACGTTGACTGTGATATCATTCTTTTTTTTTCTCCTGTCAAACATACTATCATTGGTTGTGGCAAAACAATTCAAATTTAGGTTCACCTGGAAAGAGCATCCTCCTCCATTATTACACATCCCATTGTTTGAAGGTTATTGCCAAACTCTCAAGTGAACTGTCTTGCATCATGTTAATTGATATTACATTTGGAATGTTTGAGCTTTATTTCTGGACTACTTCTATTATTAACAGTATTAGTTTCACGTACCCTTCTCAGGTTTTCACACAGTTTCTATTGAAACATGAAATTTTGTCTCAACCTGTCGCGTGGAGTAACCTTTATCAACTAAAACTTATATTTATACTTTTTTTTTTTACATAAGGCAAGTCTTCCTGGGAACCATGAGTACAATTATCAAGCTACTGCTGGGAATGTTTGTGTTTACCATGGCAGGTGTTTCGATTTAAAACTTTCAATCTTGAGTCAAATCAAATTTAAATAATTAATTTCGACCCAGGGCCAAACGCAATGGGGGTGTTCAGAAACAATTATCTCTTCACCCCGCTCATGCACTAGATGGTTAGGAGGACTTGAATGGCTTGGATCAAAGTAATGGTACGGTTATTTGTCTTCGTTGGTTTGGGAAGTTACAACAATTTCACTTTTAAAAAACACAATTTTGGGTGTGGATCAGAAAATCCTAATACCCAGAATTTTGTTGTGGGAGGAAAACGGGAGTACCCCGAGAAAAACCCACTTTCACTACCCGCACGCACTGCTGGGAATAATATAACTGCCTTACTTTTATAAGCATTAATATGGTATGGCACTGTCTGATTTGTTGAATGACAGTCAATCACAGTGTAAGCTATCAACATGTGACTGTACTCTTGTATAGTTCATTTTCATGTAGTAGAGGGGGAACAATCCCATAATAGTTTTATACCCATTTTATTCACTTTTTATATAAATATTTCCAATGCTGTATATAATACTTATAGATGCATTGTTTTTCCTTTTATAAATTAACCTCAAATTTAAGACATTTATTCTGTGATATGGCTGTAATTATAATCTTCTGCATATTTGTAAACATGTCGACATTATTGTTAATATTTTTATTTTAAGTTTACAAATTGATAGTACTGCCAAGCATCTCGTCTGCTTTTTTAACTCATTATCTATTTATTTCAAAGCTTTTATTTTTGGAAGACAACAGAAACTTGTCACTTTTTTCGTTAAGCAAATGGAAAAACTTTAGTTTAAACACCCAAATTTTACTTACCTGGGATCTCAGCATTTAATATTTCCAGATTATCGCTTGGTTCTTTCTCCATGTTACCTGTTGGTTGTTTCTTCAAGTTAGACATCAATGAGACTTAGAAATAGAAAATTTATTTCATTTAAAGCGATATGCGTATTTTATGTATGTATCAAATAATTACAGAAACTTTTAGAAATAGAGTGAAATATATAGATACAATGCAAAGCCAGGAAAAGTTCAAACAAATATAATTAAGTCGATATTCAATCCCCAGTTGTGCGGAATTTCTTACAGTTCTTGTTCCATTACTACTTTCTTCTCTTCTTTTATATAATCAAATATTTACAAATAATTTCTTAGTTTTCACAAAACATTCAATTACACTATACACACACCCTTTAAAAAACAATTTATGGTTTGTTTGTAATTAAGCACAAAGCTACACAATGGGCTATCTGTGCTCTGCCCACCACGGGTATCGAAACCCGGATTCTAGTGTTGTAAATTCGCAGACATACCGCTGTGCCACTGGGCGGCACAATTTATGGTTCACAAGCTTTTGTCCCGTCTAGCTAGGCCTAGTGAAATATAGGCCTGTTTCAAAGGTTTAAATTCTGGTTGATAACATTGTAAAACTATAATATCATCATCAATTTATATTTTAAGAGTAGTTACTTCAAATAAAACTTATGAATTTTAAACAAAAACTAGAAAGTGCGGTAAAGTTAAATTGAATTATCAGTGTCAAAAACAAAAATACATTTTGCTTATTTTTAACAAAATGTTCTCAATCAGAAAATGTGTTTCAACAAAACAGTTTTTAATTTAATATAAAAACGCTAAAATCTTTCATTGAACTGAATTTATATCTTACATTTATTTCGGTAAGCTTATACAGATTACTGCAACATGAAAATACATAAAGTTTTTGAACTGAAGAGCTTAAATTATAAAATCGAAATTCCTTCAAAACAGATTGTTCCTCGGTTTGCTTTAAGATTACCGTATTTTTCGGTGTATAAGACGCACTTTTTTACCCCAAAATTTGATGTCAAAATCTGCTTGCGTCCTATAC